TCATACAATAATACAATACAAAGTGTGTGTGTGTGTGTGTGTGTGTGTGTGTGTGTGTGTGTGTGTGTGTGTGTGTGTGTGTGTGTGTGTGTGTGTGATGGATCGTTGGAGCTATGTGCAACTCAAGGCATATGCTCGAACTGGAGCTGCCTGGACGCTGCAATCATGTTGCGCGCACTATCCGTGCTGACTTTTCGTACAATGTCCCACTGTCTGGCTACCTGCATAAAGTGAAGTGCTCGGCGCAGTTGTCGGCGAAATGTCACTCCTCTGTTTTCATTTAAACAGCTCCTTATATCTGTTAGCGCAGCTAGCTAGCTCCAGATGCTAACAACAACAACAATACACGTAAGGTCTCTCACTCGCGCCACACCCTCCCGGTCCTCCCGATGGCCAGTTGGTGGCTGCCGGTGAGCGTGGAAGTGTGGTCGACCGCAAGCGGACGGCGTTATTAACGCGTTAACTTGACAGCCTTATTATTAATACGTTAGACCGGCCGCTCTCCCCCATGTGACGTCACATGCGGGTTGTCTTTTTTTATGCAGAAGTAAAAATGTCTTACAAAGACGACGCCAGATGTCACTTTAGTGTATATGTATGTATATTTTTTAGAAAATCTAGTGTATACATAATTTTACTACACATTTATTCACTGGGGTCTCTAACCTGCAATTTGCTCTTTAATGTTTTAATCCGAACTAAAACTCTACACAAACTCAATACTGATGTTTTCATTGTTGGTTGAATCAATCGAGCAGCCTACATTCAAAGCCTTACTGATGTAAAAATAGATGATCATTGGGTGGTAAATTGATTGACTGTTATTGAATGATTATTTTCAGGCAGACCGTATCATGTTTCCAGATAAATGAACTCATCTTTTTCAAAAAATGTCTTGCATATTAATAAAATGTCCTGTACTAAACCCAACTTTTTCAAATTTGTATTCATTATCCATTCTATTGACAAACACACCAGTAGTGTAGTTCCCTTCATGCCATAAATCTTTTGAATGTTTATCTTCTACTCGAACTAATCTGTCCTTCTCTTCTTGTTGTGTTTGAGTCATTGCATGTTGGATTGCTTTCACCGATACTCATTTTATTTCAAATGAAAATTGGCACATAAAGTCCTCTCCACAGTTTGGTGAAAACAACGTGTGTGTGTGTGTGGCTGACTGTCTTCTGCCTGTCTGTCTCTTAACCCTTCATCTTTCTTCCTGTGTGACTTCCTCTTGCTCTGCCTCCGGAGCAGAATCATGTATCGCACGTATAGGATGTGAGTACCTCCTTCCCCGCCTCTTCTACGTGTTGTCATTGTAACAACTCCTCTGAATGCAATCTAACATTCATCAGTCATATGACTAATGGACCAAAAAGTTAGCTGTCACATTTGAGTTTTGTTCTTTCTTCTTCACATTGCAGGGAATCAGTGTCTGTTCCGGACTAATGTTCAAAATGTGCTGCTGTCACTTTGCAACGTGACTCATTCTTCTTCTTCCCTATCATCCCTTTGTCTTACTTATCCATGTTATCTTAACTGTACCTGGAAATGAGATGAACTGTGCTCTGCTTGGTCTTATAATGTCAGCTACAAATATATAATGTTTTCTTGAAGAATCTGCCTTTTGACAGCTGCAAAAGGCCCATTACACCTAATAATGGTCACATACACTGAACAAAAATACAATAGCAACACTTTTGTTTTTGCTCCCATTTTTCATGAGCTGAAATCTATTTACACAAAAGGCCTATTCCTCTCAAATATTTCTCACAAATGTGTCTAAATCTGTGTTATTGCGCACTTCTCCTTTGCCAAGATAATCCATCCACCTTACAGGTGGGGCATGTCAAGCTGATCAGACAGCATGATTATTTTAAAGGTGTGCTCACAATAAAAGTTTTATCAGACCGTGCCACAGATGTCGCGGGAGCGTGCAATTGGCATGCTGACTGCAGGAATGTCCACCAGAGCTATTACCATACCATAAGCCATCTCCAAAGACGTTTCAGTATATCCAACCGGCCTCACAACCGCAGACCATGTGTAACCACACAACCAGGACCTCCACATCCGGCATCTTCACCTGCAAGATTGTCTGAGACCAGCTGATGCAACAATCGGTTTGCATAACGAAATAACTTCTGCACAAACTGTCAGAAACCGTCTCGGGGGAAGCTCATCTGCATGCTCGTCGTCCTCACCCTGGTCCTGACTTGAATGCAGTTTTTCGTCGTAACCGACTTCAGTAAGCAAACGCTCACCTTCGAAGGTGTCTGGCACTTCGGAGAGGTGTTCTCTTGACGGATAAATCCCGGTTTTCACTCTACTTAACTCTATAAAGAAGATGTGTTGCACTGCGTGAGGCAAACGTTGGTCACACCAGATACTGACTGGTTTTCTGACACCCTACAGTTCTTACAGTAATAAATGTATCTTCTCAAAATAAAAGTGCACATTTTAGAGTGGCCTTTACTTGTGACTAGCTTAAGGCACATCTATGCAACAATCATGTTGTCTAATCAGCATATTGATATGCCACACCTGTGAGGTGGATGGATTATCTTGGGAAAGAAGAAATGCTCACTAACAGTCAGACATTTTGTGAACAATATTTGAGAGAAATAGGCCTTTTGTGTACATATAAAGTCTTGGAACTTTGATTTCAGCTCTTGAAAAGTGAGAGCAAAAACCAAAGTGTTTATATTTTTGTTCAGTGTATATCCTAAACCTTTATTATTTAAAATTTCTATTGGTTTAATGCTGTCAAATCTGTACTAAAAGTGATGATACTGATATGAGCTTTTAAATTGTATCAATCAAATTTTCTAATAAATCTCAGTTACCAATTCTGATGGGTTACTATGAACCCGGCTAGATCTACCAAGGCATTGCATAGAGTTTGGTTCATCTAAACATAGTAATCATGTGGGTATCATGTGGGTGTCTTGTGGTGTGTTCAAACATAATAATAATAATACATGGGACTTTTATAGCGCTTTTCATGAAACTCAAAGACGCATGAAGTACATTTTTCACACGACACGATTTGATGCCAGCCGAAGTGAGAAATTCACGCAGCTCTGTTTTCACCCACTGTTGTGATGCCCCTGACGTCATGAGGTTGTTACATTTCAGAAATGATAGCGGTATGTGCGCACCCAGCACTCTATGATAGTAACTTCTATGCACAAAGATCACTTGGAAATGTATTTGTAAAAACCTTAGGCTGATATAAACGATAACGTTCCTTGTCCTTATAATGTTTGTCTTTTTCCATATAGGTGTTTCACTCCTTTCTGAAGGAAACTAATGCTAAATGTTTGTTATAGATCAGTGCTGATCAGCTCTTATCCTGTCAACCCAACTGTAATTTGGATCAGATCAGTCTTCATATCACTCTCATATCAGTTTCTTCCAGACAGATCTTCATAAGACTCAAAGCAGGGATATCCTGGAGTGTGAACATACGCTACAGATCAATGACTATATTTAAATGTAGTTAAACTCAAATGTATGTCTTATATTTAATTGTATTGATTTGTTTTATTGTACTTTTTTTTATAAAAGTTGCAATATGAAGATCACTGTTTGGAAGTCAGTATTTTATCCTCCTTTTTTGATTTGACCCTGAACTGAAAACATGTATTCATTACATATAAGAGATATATTCACTGCCACGGATTCTCAAATGAATAAGTCAAGGTTTGTGTCTGTCAGGACCCGAGCTAAAAAGCACTGATCTGCAATACAATCAACTAAATATACTGCCCCCCCTCCTATATCCCCATCTATCCTTCTATCCAGCCAAGCCCGTCAGAATGCCCAGCACAGCGAGTCCTCCCACCCCTCTATCCCAAAGGAGTTCCAGTTGGACCTGGACATGATCGAGATGGACCAGAGCAGAGTGTGTGAGCTGCCGGATCTGGTCCAACACAAGCTGGACGGGCTGCTGGAGCCCATCAAGATCCCTGAACCCAAGTAACCACCCAAATCATCTTGGCAATAATATTCTCAACTTTTGTGCTTCAGTGTACAATTCTGTCTGATTTCAAATATTTTTTGTGTTTTAAAGGATGCGTTCTGTCTCTCCTCACTATGATGACCTCCACAACAGCACGGCCTCCACCATCAACTTTGTTATCTCTCAGGTGGCTAGCGGGGACATTAACAACAGCATACAGGCACTGGCACAGGTATGGAAACATGAAAATGATGTCTAACATCTAGAAGCGGCAAAACTGCAAAAATCCTCATTCAAGGTTTTTATTTGTCATACGAACATAGCTACAGTGTAGTTATGAAGATGAACATTTTAGGTCACAGGCTCCTCCAACAGTGCACCCCAATAAAACAGATAAACATAAAAATATA